ATCCCAGCACCTGCCTGGGACAGAAACACGGATCCATCCCAGCACCTGCCTGGCACAGAAACACGGATCCATCCCAGCACCTGCCTGGGACAGAAACACGGATCCATCCCAGCACCTGCTTCAGGACAGAAACACGGATCCATCCCAGCACCTGCCTGGGACAGAAACACGGATCCATCCCAGCACCTGCCTGGGACAGAAACACGGATCCATCCCAGCACCTGCCTGGCACAGAAACACGGATCCATCCCAGCACCTGCTTCGGGACAGAAACACGGATCCATCCCAGCACCTGCTTCGGGACAGAAACACAGATCCGAGCCTGCAGCACGGCAGGCAGAAGGAAGGGGAGTGTGCACCTGGTTTATACCGAAACACTGGCTAGAATATTTGACTAAGTCCCTTTTTTAAAGGGGAGTGTCAGCACACAAAATGGAAAGCAGCTTGCAGCTTGTAACCAGTACAGTTACTCCTCAGGGGCAGAAATAGTACATCTATGAGAACTTCTTCCAAGTGAAAAGCCCCTCTTCTGTTCTGTCCTACCCTTACTGCTTCCAGATCTTGTGAAAATAACCACAATGACTTCCTCAAAGAGGTCCTACAGTGCAAGCATTTGAAAAGAGGTCATCGTATTTCAAAGAGTAAGTGCATTCACTAATGAAGGGGTATATAACAACATCAAACATCTTTCTTTTGTATAAAAGATCATTGTTTCAAAAGTGACCTAATATGGAAGTGTTTCTTTAATAAAAAGAACTGAGACCTAAATTGAAGAAAGACAAAAAAATAGAACAACTCTAGTTAAAAAGAGGATTTTTCTGTTCCTTGTCATGGCAGTTAATCTCTCTTCTGTTGCCCTGGTCATTAAGTATACAAAGAAAAGGTTAGAAAAATAACTCTAAATAGGGAGGCTAAAAGAATAAGCTCTAAGAAAAACACATCTAAGTATTATCTTAGCCAACATAATTACTCAGGAAGGAGAAGTCATTTTAAGACTACAAAGTTGAAACCAAGAAAGCAGAAGATAAGTTACCTAAAACTCTGTATGAAACAAAAATAACCATTTGTCAAAGCAGCTACTTCAAAAACAAGCATGAAATTCAAAAAACACCACACCTAGACTTGAAACTAGCATTTTGATCTCAGAAGTACTGTAACAGCTGCACCTCTACAAAGACTAACATCCCAAAGTCCAAGGTTCAGCAGTGTAATAACTCCAAAGGAAACTTTCTCCTTCCTGGAGAGGACAAGACCTGTGGAGTCCTGGAAAAGTCCCAGAATCAGGTACACAACCAACTTCCTCCCTCTTCAGAAAGTCTTTACTACCATAACTTTCATCAAAATCCAGTCCACTAATAACCAAAGACCAACCTGAAGCAAGACCACCAAAGAAAAACAAAAACAAAGCAGGGGGGAGATTGATGATACAAAACACGCTTGCAGGGCAAAACAAGCAATTGCATACTTTCAAGAATGCCACTGGAAAAGTAAAATTAACCACACTCACTAACTGCAGCAGGAAGCACTCATGCTGTTTATATTTTGTTCTGGGTAAAAGCTCAAGTTTATGATTTTCAGTTTCATCAACTTAAAATAGACCCTCTAACTGACAAGTTTACTTTAAGAGCAATTAGTAACATCCCCTGGCCAGGTATTACTCTCACCCTTGAGCATCTATTCCTCAAGTAGTGCTATTTCCTTCGGGTTTATTCCTTCAAAGGGAAAACCTGCCAAAGTGGCAGCCTTTTAGAACATTTCCTCACATCTATTTGCTACAAGATTTGTTGCATC